ATATATATGTACGTAAATATGCTCATAAATATTTAATTCAATAGATCGGTCTTGTGTCGTCTACAAAGGTGTACCGAGCGCTCATTTACCTGTTGCACATAGTGATGCATTACAAGTTCCAAATCATCCATCCGAATTCGAAACTGTCTATGATTGCAAACAGGCTATGGCAACGCCATTACCACTTGATGATGGATCTGATTACATTCCGATTGAAAACAACTTACCGTCTTTCATATCCCAAGAACACCTAAACAGCATGGTGCGTAAATTAAATCTCTCCCATAACAACGCAATGATTTTGGCATCAGAACTGAAAAGCGTGAATGTTTTAGCACCAGGAGTAAAAGTAACGGCCTACAAACATAGACAAGATCCGTTTATGTCATATTTCAAGTTACCGGAAGATGGCACTCAGGCTTATTGCAATGATGTAGCAGGTTTGATGAATGAAATAGGAATTACTGACTATAAACCCGAACAATGGCGTCTCTTTATTGACGCATCAAAGCGAAGTTTGAAAGCAGTCTTGCTCTATCGCGATGGTAGCAAGAAACCCGTTCCCGTCTTGTATGCGGTTGGAATAAAGGAATCAGACGAAACAATGCAATTAATCTTAGATTACATCAGTACGAAGAGCAAAGGTGGCGCGTGAACTGTGATTTTAAAGTTCTCTCACTACTATCAGGCATGCAAATGGGCTACACTAAATACTGTTGCTTGTTCTGTCATTGGGATAGTAGAGCCAAATGCAATCACTATACCAAATGTGATTGGCTAAAAAGAAAGGAACAAACGAATGGTCAATTCAATATAGTTCACGAGCCCTTGATAGCGCTTAATAAAATCATGCTTCCCGATTTACATATCAAACTTGGTGTTGTTAAGAATTACATCAAAGAGTTGGTTAGAGTCAACGAAACTGCATTCCTATATTTGAAAAATAATGTCTTTCCAAAACTTTCCGTTGAAAAAATCCGTGAAGGTAGTTTTTTGATTGTATATGAGTGAAAATCTCTCAAGTGGATGTAAACTGAATAAAGTAATTTGTGCGAAAATATATTGACCGTCCAATTTTGGGTGGCCCATTTGTTGTTGCCATATATTTTATTATATCTTGCTTTAAGAACCCTATAATTTTTATTTCAGGTGTTCTTAATGGGCCGGACATCAGAAGATTAATGAAGGATCAAGGCTTCTTGGAAATTCTTAACGGCACAGCAGCCGTTGCATGGGATGCAGTTCGAGCTTTAATTAAACATGTTCTGTGTAAAAATCGTTCACCAGAATATGCCATTTTTATTGCGAACTTGATGGAATCTTTTGACGCCTTTGATGTGCACATGTCTCTTAAAATCCACATGCTACACAGTCACTATGACTTTTACGGGCAACAGCTTTCAACAGAAACAGACGAGGTAGGAGAGCGATTTCACCAATCCATTATGTGTTTTGAGGACCGATTCGCTGGAAAACGATTGAATTCAATGTTGGCGGACTTTTGCTGGTCGATCGCAGGAGGCAAAGGATATTAAAAAATTCATTCGAGCAATAGAAACTAGCAAAATATGCCAAAACGGGATTGAAGAGAACTCAAATTCAGGTCCAAATAGTATATAAACTAATATTATAAAAAAATATTACGAAATAAATATGAAAATATAAGTTGTAATGCAAAACCACATATCTGAACAACCAGTTGTATGGGAGCTATATGTTACAGTGAACCGATTTCCATGATTTTCAGGTTATATCAAAATACAGTCACGTGCAAAATTTTAGTAAAATAACCTTAAAACTGAGGTAATTATTAACAAAAAACCTAAAATTTAAGCAGATTTTCAAGCACCGTTATCTGGAAAACTAGAGCCAATCTGGAAAAACGGAGGACGCCATTGAATTTAAAAGATCCCAGTTAAGTAAGATCAGTTATCAAAACCTTTGCCCAGAAAAAAATTCAAAACATGAGCAGAGTGTTTTAAACTAGTGATGGGCGAGCCCGAGATGTTTTAGACGCTTGTCTCGATTGACCTCGATGTTTTCTCTCGTAGACGATTTGCCACCCGAAAAAAGTCGTGCTTAAGCTGAACTAACATATTCGTTAACAATCGACCAAGTCATCTTGGTCTCGCTGCTGGCCAGCGGTTGTTAAAACATCTCGATGGTTCTCTGTCGCAGACTGTGGCAACGAATTGCCAGTCGCGTTTAACATTCGATAAAAATCGGTCAAAACATCTCGGACTATGTTCGAGTACTTACGTCCACTTGTTGCGTACGTGCAGAGTGCACTTGCATAAAACGTATGCATGTAAATGCGTAACGAAAAGAAATATAATTTGCTTTACAATCTATGAATCTCAAGTGTTTATTATCCAATATGTTTGATTACAATGAAAATTCTAATTCAAGGTGCCAGAGGGGCGGATTTGAAAGTTAACGATGTGAAAGCGGTGGCGGTCAGTAGAAGACTAAAAAACCTAGGCTGGCGCGCTCGGGTCTCCCCGTACCGTCGCTTTACAATTCAAAAATCGGAAAAACACGCCACCCAAATTTACGATATACAAGTTAATATGTACATATTCTAAAAAGGTTTACAATTCATTTGGTAGGTAATCCATCTTCAAATTTGGAAAATACAAAATTTAAAAAGCAAACGCGCGCAGCTGTCCCTCGTCTACAAATCTATCAGATTTATGCCCATGTTCTCAACATGCCGGCCCGCCTGTGCCGGAGCAATATTGAGCAGCTGTTTCAGCTTTTCTAGCGTCACTACCGCCTGGCTGAATAAATCCTGTATGCGCTGCTGGACGCCTGTACGGCCTTTATGCTTCTTGGGCGGCTTGTCCACGGCCTTAATGGTCGACTGTATTCCCTGGCGGCTGGATTTCACACGAGGCTCTTCACGGCGGCGGCGGTCTGGCGGTGGAGAGGCGGAGCGGTGTAGCATGGTGTGATGCGCTTTGCCACATCGGTGGCAACTATCGTGCGAGTCACATGCGCCGGTTACGTGGGACGTGGCCAGGCAATTGATGCAATAGCGATGCACCTTTGCCGATTCGTACCTCTCATCTGGCGTCATCGCTTTGAAGGCGTGGCAGAACCTCAGACTATGGAAGCGGCAACACAAACGACACAAACTAAATTCCATTGCGCACAATGACTACCTGTGGAAGAGAATTTCGAAAGGCAGGATTAGTGGTTTAACCGGTGATATGAATGCGCGCTGTGTGGGGAGAATAAGAATGGGAATATTATATGTGTGTGTATGCGTATTATCAGTGGTTGAGTGTCGCTATGAAGGGAGCACGCAGAGTTTGGTGACATTTCGGGTAACTACGCCTGCCTGTGTGCGAATATCCACTACGCGCACGTTTTGGTCCGCACCGAGATGGAGTTTTATCACTCTGCCAAGTCGCCAGTCGTTTGGGGGCAAGAGATCGTCTTTGATGACGACTAGATCTCCTTCGCTGACATTGAGCTGGGGGTGTTTCCACTTAAATCTCCTGTGCAATTCTTGCAGGTACTCAGTTTTCCAACGTGAGCTGAATTGCTGATGGAGAACTTTCAATTTTTGCCATTTGGTGTTGAGCGATACATTTTCGGCATTCGGTTCAGGTAGGGAAACCAAGGGAGCCCCGCGGAGAAAATGGCCTGGCGTTAAAGCTAATAAGTCGCTTGGATCTTGTGACATGGGGGAGAGAGGGCGCGAGTTGAGGACCGCTTCGATTCGAATGAGGAGAGTGGTGAATTCCTCAAATGTGAATTTGTGGTTTCCAGCGACTTTAGTGAAGTGGGTTTTAAAGCTTTTTACGGCGGCTTCCCACAGACCACCCATATGAGGGGCGTATGGCGGTATGAATTGCCAAGAGAGTCCCTGTACCGCATATCGTGCAGCGATATCCGAAGTTGCCTCTTTTAGAAATAAGGCAAAATCGCGCTGGATAGCCCGGTGTGCTCCGATAAACGTCTTCCCGTTGTCGGACATAATTTTGTTTGGCAGTCCGCGGCGACCGACGAACCGAGTAAAGGCGGCTCTGAATGCTTCTGTAGTCAAGTGTGTGCAGGACTCTAAATGGACAGCTTTGTGGAAAAGCACACGAATACGCAAACGTATGCTTTTGTGTGAGACACTCGTCGCAAGGGGGATGTTTTTACCATAAATAGTCCAGCGAAATCAACACCAGTTGTGTGAAATGGCACCGAGTAAGTTGAACGCTCGGGGGGCAGTGCTGCCATTATTTGTGATCGCATTCGTTGTTTATAAATAGTAAAAGTCTTGCACTGAAATATGCACCTTTTCAGTTTTTGTTTGAGTCTGGGAATGTAGTACTCTTGCTGCACCATACGAACCATTAACTGTTTTTCAGCGTGAAGCAAGGTGTTATGCAGAAAATCTAGCAGCAAGGAGCAGAATTTGGAGCTATCTGGGATGATTATGGGGTGCCGTTCATTGTAGCTTAGCGCGGCCTGAGCTAGACGACCATTTACGCGCATGATCCCCGCTTTGTCCAGAATAGGGTTTAGGGTGAGTAGTGAGCTTTTTTTGTCAATTGGTTTTGAAGCCTCCAACGCCTGAATTTCTTCTACAAAATGGTGGCGCTGAGTGATTGCGATCAATTTCATTTTTGTATGATTTATCTCTTCCTGTGTAAGAGCTAACGTGGTGGGAATTGGGGATTTTTGCGAGTTGCGAATAAACCGATACAAAAAAGCAATAACTCTTAAGGCTCGTGAAAATGAGGAGAATCGATCAAGGATATATGTACATTCTAAGGTGTGGAGGGATTCTATCGGTCTCTTTTCAGAAGGGGCTGGTTTGGAGAGCCACTCGGACCCGTTCCACCATAAGGAACATCCAGCTAAAGCTTGTGGTTTGCATCCACGCGTTCCTAAATCTGCTGGATTATCACCACTGGGTACGTGGCGCCAAGTGGCATTGCTGACATTTTGGAGAATTTGAGTGATCCTGTTGGCTACATACGTTTTCCATGAATGTGGTGGTTTTTCCAGCCAAGCTAACACTATTGAGGAGTCCGACCAGAGGGTTAATTCATGAGGTGGCAGATTCAGTTGGGAACGGGTGACAGCAATTAACTTCGATAGCAACACAGCGCCACAAAGTTCTAAACGTGGCAAACTTATCGTTGTAGATGCGGGTAAAGGGTCGCAAGAGTACGAGAAGGAGTCAGTCAGTGCGTTCCATCTTATTCGAAGCGTTTTAGTTGAGCTTGTGTCTTGGAATTTGAGAAACTCAGTATCTAAGACATCGGTATCTGGGATTAATTCAAGGATTTTTGGGTGATTTGCTGTAATTTTTCTCAGCGGAAAGCCTGCCGATTTTAGAGCTTCTATAGTTTGGGTCATAGAGGTGATAGTGGACTGTATATTGTGTCCGCCAGAGAGTCCATCATCTACATATGTTTCATGTAGTATGATGTTTTTGGCGCGGGGGAATTTTTCTTGGCAATCGTGAGCTAACTGGCGGAGCGTGCGAATTGCAAGATATGGGGCGCAGTTAACACCGAAAGTGGCGGTTTTTAACTTAAAATCTTCGATTGGCAGGTGAGGGGCTTTCCTAAAGAGAATCCTTTGGAAATTTTGATCTTCGTTATGGACGAGTATTTGGCGATACATTTTCTCTATGTCGCCATTGAAAACGAATTTATAAAGACGCCATTTAAGGATAATGGCCGTTAAGTCGTTTTGGAGTATTGGGCCTGTATAAAGAACGTCATTCAGGGAGTTTCCTGAATGTGATGTCTTAGATGCGTTAAAGACGACACGCACATTTGTCGTTTTACTGTCGGGCTTCAAGACAGCATGATGGGGTAAGTAAAATGAAAAATATTTCCCGTCTTTTATTATTTCAAGGGGTGAAGCGTGTTCCATGTGCCTCATGTGCAAGTACTCGTTTAGTACTTCTGAGTACTTTTCGCGCAGTCCCGGCTTTTTATCCAGAGTCCTCTATGCTTATATATTGCTGCTGAGCTGCTGGGCGGGAGTGGCCTAAGGCAAGGGCGTCCGGGAATTCGGGTTTGAAGGGGAGTTTCACCACGTAGGGTCCATCCTCTCGTCTGGCGGTCGTGGTCCTGTAGAGTTCCTCACAGAATTCGTCTTCTGCTGATTTGGGTTGAGCGGTTTCTATCTCCTCTTCCTCCCAAAACCTTTTGATCAGCGTGCTGAGTTCGGGCTCCGTTGCCTCTGTGACGTGGGTGGAGAACGTCGAGATATGTTCTCTTACTGGATCACTGAGTATCCAACCGAATATTGTGTTTTGGGCTACTAAGGTGCCGTCGATGTTACGTTGTAGCCCATCCAGGAGTATTTGGGGAGTTATATCACTTCCTATCACCATGTCAATCTTCGATGGTGTAAAGCAGTTAGGGTCAGCAAGTTGGAGGGAGTGTAATTCGTCTATGTTGACATTGGACACTTTAGATGTGGGCAGAAAGTGGGTAAGCTGTGGGAGAATGGCACAAGTTGTGATCTTCTGGCCTAAATCCGATGAACATAGCGTTATCTCGCAAATTTTGTTCGAATTCTGTACTACCATTCCTCCCATTCCAGAGATTTGGTAGTGAGTTTCTCTTGTGGGTAGGCCAAGGAGTTTTTGAATTCGTGACGCTACAAAGGTCTTCTGTGATCCTTGATCGACTAAAGCACAAATTTTATGATACTCTCCTTCAAAGTAAATGGGAACTATTGCCGTGGGGAGTAGGGTTGTTGCGCTGCTACTGGAAAAATGCGAAGAGACCTTTTGGACATTGCTGTCAGGTGGGTGTTTGGTAAGTGCATTTTTAGCAGCCTGCTCAGATGTCGAAGGCTGTTCATGGTCTATCCGACTTTGAGTCGACATTTGCGCTTGGGTTCTTTGAGGTTTTGGGTTGGCCCTAGTTGATTGGGATTGTGGTTGGAAATGGAGAAGGGAGTGATGTCTCTTTTGGCAATATACGCATAAGAACTTGCTCTGACAATCACTATTGAAGTGGGAATATGAGAGGCAATTCTCACAATATTTATTTTCTCTTACGAACTTGAGTCGCTCAGTTACGGACAGGGCTTTAAACTTCACGCAGGTTTTCATTGGATGGTTTTGGTTGCATAATTTACATGATACCTGCTGATTTAGTTCCGTGTGAAAGTTGTGGGTTTTCGGTTTATTAAAAGGGTGTGAGTTTTGATTAATAGCTCTGGGGGGGAAGTTTGGTTGAGGCGTTCTTGTTTTACCTGGGCGATAAGTGCTGAGTCTTTCCACGACTTCATACCGAGTTGTTAAAAACTCATTCATATCTGCCCACAGCGGCAGTTATTTTCGAGAACTCAGCGACTGTTCCCACAAAGAAAGGGTTTCACAGGGCAGTTTCGAAGAGAAAATATAGACAAGGATGGGGTCCCAGTCAGAGGTTGGGATTCCTTGTGCTGCCAAAGTGGACAAACAGTTGTTATCGTAGTTTGGAGTTTTTCAATCTGCTCACCGTTCTCTGAGTAAATCGATTGGAGATTGAAGCGGGTTTTAATTTGGTTATCCACCAATATTCTGCGGTTTTCATACCGCACTTTCAGTGCCTCCCAGGGTAATTGAAAGCTTTCGTCAGTCAGCGGGTATTGCTTAACCAATTGCCCTGCCTGGCCTCTCGTTTTTTGGCGAAAATGGTAGAGTTTCTGAGCTGGTGTTAGCTTGGGGTGATTTCCATAGACTGCCGTGAACATATCCCTAAAGGCCGGCCAGTCTTCTTACCCACCATGGAAGATTTCGGTGTCACATGGTGGTACTTTGAGAAAAACTTCAGGGGCGCTTGAAGTGTTTGGGGGGTTTCTGGGTTGTGGAGGTGGTGCTAAAAGCTGCAGAGCATCTAGTATTTGGGACATACAATTTTCGTAGCTTTCTGAGCACTTTTTATATTTTTGCTCGATTGAGCCACTTGACTCATCATGATCTCCGGAAAGGGATACTGCTCTAAAGGATGCAACGAGCGATTCCCACAATCTGTCCAGTTGCTGGATCTTGACCTTCAATAGGGATTCTGTTTGGTCAGCTATAAGAGTTGCTGACCATGTAGAGTAAAAGGACTCTAATCTATTGCTTTCAAATATGAAGGCCTGGAGGCTTGCCTCTGAATCATTATCAGTAGCAGTTATTGATTTCTTTTCCATGGTGTTTGAGATGGGTAATTTGGGTTGGGTTAATTATATAAACTGTACCTCGTTACAATATTAAGGGGTTTGAGTCCAGTTTAATTATATTTAAAATTGATTTAAAATAATTCTTTGATTATAATTTTTTATTTTGTGTGGGTACTGGTTTTGTCCCACCGTGAGTCAGTTGCTTTTTGCTACACTGTACTGTCTTAGCGCGTCTAAGTCCAGTAACAGTGATTTTTGTGTGCAGCGCAAGAGCGAAAAAAAGGGTGGAGCCTATTTGTGTACGCGTTGGTATGTATGTACGTACCTCGGCGGTTTTCTATATGTACATATAAGTATGTGCAATATGAGTGCGCGGTAACCGAAATATATTCGAAGTGCTGTTGACGGTCGAAAAGGGGTAAGCAACCAACCACGTATTTATATATACGTACGTATGTCGCACTTGACTACGCTAATATTAGTATGGGTCAATTTTGTTTGCGATAAAAAACCGAACAAGTTGGGTTCAAATGCATGTATCTACCTCTATATATATTTGGATATATATTTATAAATTTATGTGTGAGGGCCGAAAGGTCTATATATTTTATAAAAATCTTGAAGGAGACTGGGAAACGCTTCTTTTTATATTTATTTATTTAAACTTTTTCCTTTTTATATAGCCGCACACTAATGTGTACTTACTTCGGTATCTATATATGTCGCAAGCGTTTTTGTTCACTGCTGAAAAATAGCGGCACTTAGCTGAGTGGTACAGGGATAGGGTAGATATGTACGCATTAAGTGAGATTGCACAAATGCTGAAACGTATTTACATACATATGTTGCGCGCGAATTATTTACCGCTTCGGATTTTTGGCGATTTTATAAGGGTATGAGCAAAAGCGTGCGTACATATGTATGTACATATGTACATGTACAGTATGCGCCAAAGGGGACTGTGTGTATATGCGGTTGTGTTCTGCGCGCTAGTTCTTCGTTTACAAGTAGATTTAGGAGTTGGAGAAGGCAAGTGAATATATATATGTGCACACAGGCGTGCAAACAATTATGTGTTAGGGTACAGCGTACGTGGAAAAATGGAAAATGCCCGTTTGGAAATTCGGGACTTATATACATCAAAATATGGGCGGTTAATACAAGAGTTTATATATACATTTGCATATACAATGTGCTACGTATGTATATTTTTATAGCGGTTTTTGGATAGGGAAAATTTTTAACGCGCGGGGATTGTGAGTATATATGTACATACATATATTTCGGTATATATGTATGTCTGTATCGAGACAGTTATTTCAATTACGGTAAATTAAAGGTTCGACAACTTTAATTCACCGTACGGGAAACCGCTATAAAAGTTGCATACGTATGTATATAATAATATGTGCGCACTTACGGGTTTCTCTGATACCACCTGTGACTATGTCCAACTGTACCGCAATTGTTTTGCCTTTTGTGCTGTGCCGCGCCGGTGTTTTGCTGTGCTGCGCCGGTGATGCTGCTGCCGTTATCCTCCGTTGATGTTGCTGCCGCTTGCCAAGACGCCTCGTGAGAAATTGCGAACTTTTTTTTTTTTATATTAATATGTATATATATATTTTTTTTTCACTTTGGCTTTTTTTTATGCCCTGTGGCTCTTTTTCGTTAATAGCGTGTTCACATTAATAACATATGCTTAACTATGTATATCATTTTTCATTTAAGTTGAGTATATTTGTATATAAAGTAAGCATATATATTTTTTTTTTTAAGTGTGGGATTGAGGCGCAGGTATAGCTGCTAGCGCTTTAAATTTGGGGGCGCAGGTATCACTGCTAGCGCTTTAAATTTGGGGGCGCAGGCATGATAAAAATATAGTAAGGTAGAACCGCTGAGAGTCACTTTTAAAATTCTTGACGTTTCCAAACAATTTAATTTTTAAATTTACTCACAACTCACACACACATTTTCATTTTCAATCTCAAGCAACAACAATTTCGAATAATTTAATTTTTTTATTTTCACTTTTATATGATTTTAAAATGTTGGCAAACTTCAAAAAAAATCATGGCCGACAAATTGAGAGAACGGTTCTACCTTGCTATATTTTTATCATGGGCGCAGGTATCACTGCTAGCGCTTTAAATGTGGGGGCGCAGGTATCACTGCTAGCGCTTTAAATGGGGGCGCGGTGCAGGTATCACTGCTAGCACTAAA